GACATTAAAAATAGTTTGGAGCAAAATGTAGCAAACGAAAGTGCATGACTTGTACAAACATTGTTTTAACTTTAAACCGTGTTTGTTCATATAATGTGCAAATTCAAAATGATTATTTTTGTGGGAAAGTCATAGGAAATAGGGGGGTAAATACAGGCAGATGGTATATTTAAGTACAAAGAAAGTTTCCGAAAGGCTTTCAATTGGGTTACATAACTGTTAGAAGAAAAAAAAGCTTCCCAATGCGCTTTGTCTGTGGGTGCATACCTACAAATCCGGTCCTTAGTCATAACATAAAATGAATTTCGGCATTGTTTCGTTTAAGGTTCATATATACCTAATTCGCTTTAGGTTCATATTTCACATTGACTTCTATCGACAAAAACATTTACAATACAATACAGTAGGCAATATTACTTGGACTGTATTTAACAGTCCGCCATGTTCTCGCCGATTGCTCTTTCAATTTAGCTACAGTTCGAATGGCGCATTCTCATTGGCGGCCCCCACATCTAGAAAGAGTCTTATCCCCACTCTTCGTGGCTGTCCCCAGTGACACTTGATTGGCGGTTCTCCAGGTCAGTGGATGTACAACATGCTGTGCAGGTCTGGTTTAGGCGCTATACTTCGATTTAAACCGAGTCCTTGCACGTACAACAGCTGTTACGGTGTCATCCAATCGGAAGCTTGAACGCCACTATGATGACGTTTAATATCGCTACTGGATAATACCGTAACAGCTGATGACCTATCAAATGGCACTATGTATAAATCGAAGTATAGAGTTTACCAAAGACATAACTGGGGGATGGGGCAGAGGGAGGGACAGACTGACAGACGTTTTGCCGTCAATCGATTTTTCGTGTTAAGGACTCACAAATCACGGATTTTGACTTCCCAACATGTTAGGGAATGTAATTTACTTCTTATTAGAACAATGATCCACTTTACCAGAGCCGGGCAATCAGAGTTTTCATGTCGAAAAATCGCCTTTTTTCCGCAGCATTAAAATATTTTATCGTTACAGCGTACGCTGTACGCGAGAAAATAACACGCGAATTTGATACTCTCCTCACATAAAGGTAGTATATGTATGTATTATGTATATGTATTATTGAATATATTATTATTGTATGTATGTATTATATGTATTCTCAGTGCCGTTGTCCACTTGTCGCGGCGTAGGTAACTATGTAGACCACTACAGAGAGAGGCTAACCCAAACAGAGCGCCTCCCGGCTGCGTCTTAACGCCCGGGCACCTCGGGTGGTCAGCGTACAACTCGAAATACGTCAGAAGAAATGTGTGGATTTTTTCAATTTAAAAATTGAAAATTAATTAAATATCTTTGGGGAAATAATTTCAATAAAAGTGGTAGATTTTTAAAAATATATAAAACATCAGCAATACATGTAACAAAAATTTGGATGTTGTGTCAAGATTGCAACAATTCGCCATGATCAAAATGTAGAGAGCTGGACATTGAAAACAAAGAATATGTAACTACATAAGAACTCAGACTTCAGTTGAGAACTTTCCGTCAAATTGCCCATCAACTATAAAGTGCATACATGGCTACTTACTTAAATGGAATTGAATGTGATCTCTGGACTTTTGATAAACGAGTATTCTTTGAAAACGCGACTCAAAACCACATGTTTTGTTTGTGACCATCGTTTAGCGGGAAACTTTGTTTTCGTGCGCAAGCGTACTGATAAGCTGACCACAGATTCCGCTTTCTAAATAAATGTGAACATCATCGACATACGACACTTTTCAATGGTCTGTGTGACATTAAAATATATATATATATATATATATATATATATATATATATATATTTAAGGTCACTTTTTAACAACAAAGGTCATTAACGACCTTACATTACATCAATACTTATATGGGTTACATTACAGATTATATCAATAAATTATACCTCATATTACTCCCCATGATTGTATTACATTAAAAACAAAATTTTATATTATCTTACTTAAATTAACAATTGCTAGCAACTTCAGTACTTTAGCAGAACTGAACAATTAATATAAGTTTAGTGTCAAATTTCAGTAAGTTTCTTTCCTTAGTAATAGCGGGACATTAATGGTGTTGAGTAGATCTTGTTGCACCACATTTTGGGCATGGTTCTGGGCCGGAATTTTTGAATAGGTAACAAAAGTTTAGATTAAAGTGACCAATAATAACTTGCTCTCTTCTTTTAAGGCAGATTTTTGGCAGAGCTGGATCCATTTCGGAGTTCCGAACTAGATGTAGATTTGATGGTTTTAATTTTCATTGAGAGTCATAATATTTGAAACAGGATGCCTTAAAGAGGTTTTTAATGTCCTTTAATGCCATGAATTTGAGAATCAAGACTTGGAAAAGAAGTTGACATTTTTGTAAATTCATCAGCTCTCTTATTGCCAGCGATTGCCTTATGGAATTGGATCCAAACAAATTCAACTTTATCCCTTTTGCACCTTGAATACATACAAGTTCTTCTATTTTTTGTACAATGGGATTACCATCTGCGTGACACTGTTTTATAGTATTATTATATTTCATTGTTACTGATATCAAAATTTGAATTCTCTCCTTCATTTTGCTCAAATAATGGTTCATAACCAATACTAGTAGGAACTTTTTAAAAATCGTGATTGGTATAAATTTCATAATTAATCATCACACATTTTATTGTAATCTCGCAGTACATGCACGCTGCCGATTGGATGAAATCGCTACAGCTGGTATGTCACGCGCACGACTAAATAAATCGTACTGCAGCTGCGAGGCGACGGCACTGGCAGCTCCGACCGCCCTCGGCCCTGACCTTGAACCCCCACCCTCGGGGCTCGCTGCCCCTCCCGCTCGCTCCTCCGGGGTTGAGCGGCCGCCTTTCTCCAGCAGGTTGAACCCGCCACAAGTGGGCGGCGTCTTACGTACGAGTGACACTGATCGCCTGGGGGAAAAACAGACCCAGAGAAAAGTTCGTTTTAGAGTTCGTTTCCAAACATAATAATTAGTACAATTATATTTAAATGACTGTTATACTTCCTAGACTTCATTTTTTGAGTACTCTTTATTTCAAATTATTAACATACATTTGTAAACTTTTTAAATATGTTCAATAATTTATTTTAATTTAGATAGATGTACCTGCAGATGTGAAAAAAATGTTTCTCGAAACGTCGTATTTATAACACAAACATTTAAATAAATCCAAATGTGTGTTTTAATTCATGTATTTTCGTTTTAATCCATACCAATGGTTTTGAAACTTTTTTCTTCCTTGCTCCCTTCAGGTAACAAATTCTGATCACGCCTTCCCTCATTCAAATTAAGTTGTTAATAAAAAACAACAACTTTTTTTCCTGAAAGTAAGCCCATCATATATACTTGCAGTGTACGAAATAAGTAATGCACGTGATTTGCACTGTTCACTCTTATCAATATTTGACAAAGTAAGGAAAACTATAAAAAACGAACATACTGACAGTTTAGAAAAGTCTGCGAGATGAATGCACTTGTTTGGTGACACACTTCATTGAATCTCGGCATAAATTTATGAATGTCAGTAAGCATTTCATTCTGGAGATTTATTCTTGATCTATATTTTTCTTGATTACCGCCATGGCTGAAAATACACTTGTAGAAAAAGGAAGCAGAACACTCAAGGCCTTACTTTTCTCTGGAAACTGAACAGAGCACCTAAATTCGGACAGTGTTGCAGGAATGAATCACGCTACAACAAAGCGAGCCGTTTTCTAGTACGTCAATTTCCAGAGCTCATTTCAAATAACTGATAGTTGACAATGTTGGTTTCATGGAAGCAATGCGATCACATTATACACATGTGTTCTCCACCATTCGTTAAAATTAATGAAGGCACATATACAGTCTGATAGTAACTTATTCGTGTAGAAATAATTGGAGCATTATTAAGCATTAGAACATTAACAAATTAAATTATTACTTAGTTCTCACGCCTCCCTGAGGAGGCGCGCCTCAGTTTGATTAACACTCATCTACACCAATGATTATCTCAAATTAGAAGATAAGAAAATAAATAATTACTAATAGATAATTAATAAACATTTATAAGTGATATAATATTTGTAAAATTCATTAAACATTTGGTGAAGCATAAGTTCTTTTGCTTTTCATTCTCATAATACAAAAGCAATACATAAGCATTAAAAGTTAATAAAGTTAATTTGAGAAACTATATATTAAGTTCAATGATTATTTTTTATACACAATCGTTAAATATTTAGAAACAATGGATGTGATGTGTATACTGTATACTACTGTTCCTTCCACTTTTCACATTTACAGAATGCTTTACAGCCTAAATTTTGCATCATGTCTTGCTTGTCTTTCTTGGAATTTCTACCTCTTGTGTTTGTTCTGAATGCAAATAATGTGCTATTTTGGATATTGTCGTAGCAATCCACTTAAAATTGAATCGTCTTAGAATCAATTTCAGAATAGACCAAGGGCGAATATGACGCAAACTTCCGTCTTCAAATCTCGTTTCCGTCACTTCCTGAACGATTACACGTGCAACATTTCTTCAACGATGGATTGAAGAAATGTGGGTAGAGTGGGGGTATTAGTTACGAAATCTGCCACTAGTTTTAATAAAGCAATGCATTCTCAACTTTCTAAATAATTTGCGTTCTTTCTCAGGAGTTCGAGGTATTTCCAGGGATACATCTTTATCTGTTTCTGTCATTTCTTTAGATTTTTTCCCTTTATATTTCAGCATCGAAATTGGGGAGATCGATGACAGCAAGAACATGGGAGCTCCAAATTAACCTAGGCCCAAGGGCTCACAGTCCTATTAATACGGTCCTGCAATTGAAGAACACCGACAAAGCGATATTTCCGTTAAGGTTTTGGTAAGGAAATTTAAAGTTGAGAAAACAAGTTTAAACAAGGACAAAATCACGAATGAGTGGTTAAAAGGAATATTTTGTAGGTGGTTGCCACAATATTCACGATGTCTTTGACAAATAGCCGAAGCCTAAATCATCAGATGAATTCATCTGTTCCTACAAATATTGAAGAAAATAAAATTTATTTTACTTTTTATCGAGTTCTTTGATTCGTTAGATTTCATGAGGCCTTTCTGTCAGTCATTTTCTTTGTGTCCTTAGGGGAGTCTTCGTTTCTTTGCAATGCAGTTTGTAGGTGAGATAAACTACTCATACAACCTATTCCGTCGTTGAACTATTGTGTTTTCTGTAACGCCAGTTATTATTGTAATCTTGAATACGCCGGTATCGTGAACAAGATGCCCAAACGATTCCGGCTTACACAGGTTTTACTGTATTTAGGAAAAGGTGTATTTTGGACCTTTTGAGTGTCAGCAAGCGTGTGAAGTTTATAGTCAGCGTAGCGAAGATAGAGAATTTTTCGAATTCGAAGATTGAGTCTTTTTAAATGCAAAGATGAATTTTTGTGAACTCAATGTCCAGCAAGTGCCTCACACGTGTCTCATTGCAAAAACAAAATCAGTTATTAAGTGATGCAGTGCAAGTTAGGGCAGTTAACAGGATTTTGTGCCACAGTCCACTACAACATACATGAACAGATCTTGGTAAATATGAAACAAATTCATTTTCGGAAACATGTTTAACTCTTTTTACAGAGTGAATAGCGATTGTATTGTTCCAGAATTTAACTTCCCTATTTTCATAAGTTTTAGAGAATAAGTACTGAACGATATGAAACGATTTTGGGGGGGTGTCGATGTGCTATTCATGCTTGTGTGGAACGTTTCTTAACAATAATAATAATAATAATAATAATAATAATAATAATAATTTTATTTTATATGTGTAGAAACATGCAGACAGACTTCCAATGCTCGAAACTACTTTGCTTTATTTGAAGCACATTTGCGACTTCTACATACATTTTGTTTCCTGTACTTGATAAACGCATCCGGTTTTGCAATGAGATAACAGTAACAGTGCTACGCAAACGGAAAGGCAAGGCAAGGAAACTAAATAAATCATATACAAATAATAATAATAATAATAATAATAATAATAATAATTACATTGTAAATGGAATTACAAAAAGGTGCCGTCCTCAGCACACGCAATAGTCAGAAAGTTCCTCAACAATAGTATGTATTACTTAGGCCTTAAACATATAATCCTACCTCGACATCGAGAAGGGCCATTACTTGGCAAAAGTCCGCACAGTTATTTCAATCCTGAGATTTTATCCAGCGACAGAATCACACAACAACAATATTTGATAATAATTGCTTTATTTATATAGTATGATATTTATCTGGTTACAGGTCATTAGGCCCACTCTCCCACCAAAATACAATCAAAACTCAGTTTTGTATATTAATTAAATCAATAACGCGCATACTTGTAGCTGACATTAAAACGGTATGAAAATGAGGAAAAAAAATCTCGAGTGGGAACAGTTTCGTTTTTTCTCACATTCTTATTTCGTTTAATAATCCATACCTTTTTGCACACCACCATCACATCCAAGAGAACCATAGTCATTTTCTCGAAATAATTTTACTAACCACGTACAATCCAAAGGTCTAAAATTGCAAACGGCAGTAGTTCTACGAAAACTGCAATATTCAGTGGCTTCTGCTGGTCAGTGAAAGGGCGGACCCAGCCGATCCTTTTTTTTTTTTTTGTATTTTTTTTTGTTGAGGGGGTGGGCATCGAGTTTTTTGTTAAATAAAAAACAATGTTATTATATTGTACATTATTATGTTCTGTAGATATTATAATATTGAATATTGTTTAAGTAATTACATATTTCGAACATAAATATTTAAATCAAAGAGGCCAAATAAAGGAAGGTAAAGGGAAAACGTAAGGCCTTTGAGGGGGGTCAAGCCCTTCACTGTCTCCGCCAGTGTCAGTGAGCATTAGAATGCGATCGGTTTTGCGGATTAAACAAGGCAGACCAATTAAGGCCACCAATCAACATGAACTATAAGTTAAGAAATTCCATATTACAATGTACATACTTACTGTACATTCTTTGAGAATTGCTAAATTGGCATTGCTTACTGGGGCAGTAATAAACACAATAATCACAAAAGTACATTGAAACATGAGCAATAATCTAATTGTTCAATTAGAGGTTGATTTGCCGTCATCTTCCAGCGTATTTGAGAACCAAATAGTTTTTTTAAACCTTTCATAGGACGTTGCGAGTTTTCACTCTTTATTTTCTGCCTTTATGTAACTCGTCCACATCTACAAACCATGTGCTCGCCATATCACATCTTTTCATACATTTTTTCGATGTAAAGTACATGTTATATACTCTATATCGCAATTTTAAGAAAACCAGGCATTTTCGCCACAACATATTCACATACACGTGAAAACCCTGGCAACAAACCAATCGCGAGCGACAAGTGTTCTGTCTGTTCCGATAAGAGACAACCCACATCTCTTAAATTATGTTCTGGAGGACTGTTGGCAAACATGCATTCGCACTGGGATTCCCAGTACGCACACGTGACCACTGGGATGCCCAGATCTTCTACTGAAAGAGGAGGTGCTTCAAGGAGGGGATAGCGAGGCGTTGGGAGGGGGATAGGGATGTGCCACTGCGAAAAGTCCGAGATGCAACAGTCGGCGTCCACGTCATTCGCAATCACTGAGACTACGACACGGGCGAGATCTGTACTCTGCTGAACAGACAACACTTGAACGAAATATTCACTTCGTAAGTTTACCAATATTACTGGAAATCAAGTTAACATTTTACGTCCATTCTTGTTTTCTTCCTTTACACATGCCAGCTTTCGCATGTCAAATAATAAGTTGGGGAGACCCGGAGACCCGGCTATACGTCGTATGCGGAAAATGTGTTAACACTTGAGTCAGCACGCACATTGAAACAAGGATAACTGTATTTCCCTCTTGCGGCTGTATGACGTTTGCAACCGTCCAAAATATCCTGTTTACTTCTTCCTTCCAGTCTGCAAGCTCAATAACTAAAGCTGATAATACGAAATTTAATTTTCGTTTCACGCTTAAGCGGGCTACGACAGATTTAAGAAAAGAACGCGTTACGGAAGAATTTCTACCTTCCATGATGATAAAGCTCGAAAAAGTTTGAGATTTGCAATTTTCAACAATTTAGAAGTGTTAATGAAAAACGAACATATGCCATACTTTACAAGTGCACTAACTTCTAATTGAGAAAAAAACAACTGTACCGATAAAAAGTGAGTTTCTGAACTTTAAAGAAACATTTCACAATAGCAGAGCTTCAAGTTGAACCAAAAAGATAAGAGAAAAGCATTTTTGGAATAAATATTGGGTACCCTTCACAAGCAACTAGACTGACGTTTTCGAAAAAGAAGAGGAAAATCAACAATACCACTTTTTACAATATCAGCGACCCCTCACAAAGACAATAATCGTTAATTATCGATAGCACTTATTTGCAGCAATACATAATTTTCTAAGTTTAGTAAGTAAAGTTTTCTAATTTAGTAAGTAATGCCCTCTTTAGCGTTTCTCTTAATTTAATAATAAAAAAAAAATATATTTTCAACAAATTATTCCAAATTTCGCCTTTCGGCCAACCACATTTTCCTTTCATAAAATGCACGAATTATTTATAACTGCTTCAAAACAGTTTTTAATAATTGTACTAATTGATCTACAAAATAAATTATGTACCCATTATAAGAAAACTGGGTCCGCCTCGTATGAGCAAAACATAACTGAGGAGTGAAAGCTATCTCACACAGTGCGAGATGTGTCTCAGATCCATTTGGCAGTCGTCCGAGGAAAGAACTGAGCTCACCTTGCTGATAGCAAGATCGAACAGGGTTGGGTGTGGAAGTCATAGTTGGAAAAGTGACGGTCGTGTCAGTTGCCAATTATGAAGTTGAATTCCATTGGCGGAGATATTTCTTTAAAGCACATTAATTTTGTAAATGGGACATGATAAATGTGTTGTGAGTGAATTTATTACATTTCAGAACATAATTAAGTATATTATGAAGATTTATATTTAAGGTTTTCATGGACAGACTCATAAAAAATATTTTCTATTTTATTATTATATTTATATTTTCTATTATAAAATTACATTCGGTCTTTTAGGATTGTCAGTCTTTGAAGTCTGTTGTGTTTATTCTGTGTTGTGTTATTGAGTTCTGTTTAGATTGTGATCCTTTAATGTTTATTGATCCTTCCCCGAAGTTTCTCTTGGTTTGCCCCACATGTTGTAACGGGCACTCAAAACATACAATTAAATAAACGCTATTTTCTTTATCTAATGTAGAACAGGGTCATTCATTTGTTTAAGTTTTCTTTATTAATAATATTATTTCTGAGCCTGATATTAAAATTCTTGTTCAAATATTTCAATTTAATATTAATAGATCCAATGTAGGGAAGCTGAAAAAGACTCGGTCATATTCTAATCTTGAACATAATTAGATGATTTAGATTTGTTATGAGAACTTTTGATTTATCGAATTCTAGTCAACGTTTGACACATTTTTCCATGAATTTCATAGGGTATGTGTTATCTATTACCAATTGGAACACGTTTTCTAAATTCGAGTTGTAGAATCTCTTGTCAGACATCTATGCTTTTATCTGCCTAATTAAATATCATTACTTCTTTAAAGTTTATTGGATGGCTGGAATTAAAATTGATTGATGATTCTCAATTCTTCTATTGACAAGGAAATGTGTTAAAGAAATAAATGTATTGCATATAGGAACGAGATTTGTGTGCTTTTTGCTTAGCAGGAGAAGGCAATAACAGTTTTTCTGACGAAAAGTTGCGTTTTCCGGCGCACGATTACAGTACTCTTCTTGCAACGTAAGGCAAGCAAGTAAAAACGTGGAAATTGCAACATATTGCAGAAAAAATTATGTTCACTGATCTCACTTACAAGTTTGAGACAAGAAGACTGCAAACAGGATATTGTAACGTATTAGCCAGCGTGCCTCATGGCATCTATTTGGGGACGCTTGGTAGAGGATTAGCCTCGCCACAGGAAGAAGGGATTTTCCGTAAAGGGAATAACGCGGAAACGGGAGAAACAAGGCTTTGGGAGTATCCGGTCTATAGAAACTTTTCACTGTTATAACAAGCGAGGGGGTGGCGTGACGTAGTAGGTCACGTGGGCCTCGACTATATAACAGAAAGTACAGAGCCAGTGGGTGGGTTCTGGAGACAGTGGGAGAACCTCGTGCGTGTGCACAAAACTTGGCGCCACGACGGTGCATATGCGAGCCAGGCTCGCGAGGCTCGAGTCACTAGTTGACGAAACCTGCGGACTTTAGGTCCTTGGGTGACTGCGGTCACGGGGGAGCGATGCTGTGTGCGTGCTCCGAGGTGAAGAGTGGTTGAGTGCCACGATTCACGCCGATTCTCAATCGGATAAGATCGCTCCTGCGATCGAGGCAAACCAGCCGTTGGTGCGCCAGAACGGACTTTGTGTCTCAGCGTGACATCCGGTCACGGAAGCTAGGCTTTGTGCGCGCTTCAAAAGTAGGAGTGGCGAATACCACAATCAAAACCATCTTCAATCGGGTTTGGATCGCTCCCGCGATCAGGGGATAGTAGGTCTATCAGAGCTAGGGTGTAAGTAGATTATTAAGTGTATATATTTCTTTTGTTATCTTGTTAATAAATATATTTGTTATATGAAAGCTCTGTGGTCGCTGTGAGTATCCATGACGTCACAATATATTATTTCAATGAAATCATTATCACGTGAAGTAATGTGCATTTTTGCTACCAAGAATTTACACACTGACAGGGGGGTAACATCATTTTCAGCGCGTCCGAAGAGTGTCATCTTAAAACGTTGATTGTAAAAAGAACGTGACAATAGTTATTTACGATATAAGTGTTTTAAAGTATCTGATAACAATTCGAGATTGGAAAACTGCAAAACGAGGCAGTAAGGCCTATTACAAATATCGTACAACGTTTTATCCACTTAGTAAATAATTGTTAGATTTAATGTGAAATTTCGTATGTCTTCAATTAATATTCACATTTTTTCTGCAATAAGTAGCGACACTTCTCTCAATAAGGAAAACAATTGAAACATACTTTACCTAACAAATGAAATAAACACAATCTATTTTATTACACATTTTTTTTACAAACAGTTCCGGTAATTGTCATTTTCAGATGATTTATCTTACGACGCGAGTGCTAGTGCTACACACCTCATGCATTGTTGCCAACGAAATATATCGTTCGATTTATTTCTCAGCAATGAAAATGTAAGGAGTTCCCCCGTCACGTGGCCTCGGTCGATGGCGACCCCGATGACTGTCACGGTCGAGTCAGGCCCCGCTCAATACTCTCTGACGTTGACGTCAACCTTTCAAGATAAGAACCACAACTCGGGCACATACTAGAGAGAAAACAAGATTTCATAGAAACCATAACTCAGCGAATTTAGCAAGTTTTACTGTTTTTACTTTCTTGGAAGGAACTTCTTAAGAAGAGAAAATTATGTAATGCTGCGCGAAAACATGGCGAATTGTCGGAAGAAAAATTATTAGAGAGTTCTGGAAACGAAAAAGTGGAAACTCTAGTTGCTAAATTAAAAAAACAAAATCTTCTAACACGTGGTGTAGCCAGAATCCCTATTTTGTGAGTCCTTGATACCGAAAAATCGCTTGACAGCAAAACATGTCTAAACAACACAAGCGGCTAAACCGTTCAGCCGATTTTCTCCAAAATTTATATTTCCCCATCGATTTGACTGACATTGCGGCCCCTTGAATTTGAAATCTATATTTTAATTTTTGGAATACTTTACACGAAGCCCTGGAACATTTTCAATATTTTTTAAAAAATAATGGTGCCATCGATTTTGATTAAATTTTGGTGTTGGATAGTCTAAAGGTTGTTTAAAAGAATGGCGCAAATGTCATGTTGGTTAAAAACTCCAATTTTTCGATAACTGAAAAATTCAAAATTGTTCGGCATCTTCCTACAACTAACATATTAAAGACAGATTTCCCCCTTAATTGTAAGTTGCAATAGGGTGACCATATTTCCCGCACTTTCCGGGAACATTCCTTATAGTGTGGTGGCCATGTTTCAGAAATTGTTACGCTGGTTACTCTATTATTCCCCGAGCGGGGAAATTGAATTTTGGAAAGTAACTAAACAAAATGACGCCACTTTGTGTAAAACGAATAGGTTTCGTAAACTTTGAAAACATAAAATATTCCTTTTAAAATAAAACTACAATACTCAATTTTTACATTGAAACGATTTTTGCCAGCACAAAAAGTTTCCCTAGCAGACGGGGCAGGCATTGACAGGAGATCGAATGAAAATTGCCAATAACGCCGGTTAAAAACCGACTGGGTTTCAACCCTAACGAATCAACTTCTTACATAGAGTTTCACATACATTGTTTAAGTAAATTCTTACGTGCAAAACATTGCGTAACGTCCAATTACAAAAATATTTCAATTAATATTGTATATTATCAATAATATTTTATATTATTCATAGATACCATACGCTCAGCTCCTTAGCAACCATCCAAATAACGCTTTAAGATCACGTCCATAACAAAGGCTGTTAAAATGCTTATTTAACTAACTTTAACTTTTTTTATATTTTAAAGGACTCTCGGTTTAAATTTTACCAGTGCTCACAAATCTTTGGATAAGCATATTCATTTGTCATCTTGCCCTTTTTGTTTATTTGTCCCTCATATACCATTAGCGCCTTCCCCGTCCGCCATCTTGTCTAATTTACCCCTTTCTTCTCCTTTGGCAATTTTGTTCCCTTCCCCTCTTCGTTCTCCTTTCCCCGCTTTATCACACTTCCCCCTCCGCCCTTTTGATACTTCCGCGCCCTGCGATTGTTATTTTAAATTGGTAATTTGAACCTTAATAGAGAACATCGAGAGTAAAAGCAATTCTTAACTTATAAAAGTCTGAAATGTTTATTTTGACTAACAAGAATTAGAAATAAAAAACAACATTGTAACACGTCCTATATTAGTCTCTAAGGACTTGTTACATAAATAAAAATTGTTTCTATTTGGGGTCTACATTGGCTCTGATATCTTGTTATGCCCATTTACAACTTTGCAAACAATAATTTAAAATCCCATGGTGCTTGAGCAGTGTGGATAACAGTGTTTAAAGGCCATAACCTAACATTATGATTGAGGGTGGAGGTCTAATGACACAAATATTTATTTCTTAATCTAATATATGTGTTAATATATTATTCATTTACACATACATATCTACATTTATACGTTGTTGCCGTCTTGCTTAGTGTAAATTCTAATTTCTATATGACTAATATATATATATATATATATATATATATATATATATACACACACACACACTGCACAGCCGGGCCCTCGCGTCACGCTGAATCAACATATTTCTAGGTAAATTTGCACATTCGCCACTGCGTGCGCGCAGCGAACCGAGAGTTTCACAGCGAGCGTCCGTCCCCGAAAGGCACCATTCCATCCCATTGTATAGCTGTCGGTGACTGACAACCAAAACTGTTACATTAAGAGGCGAGAACAGCCCACCATAAATGACTAAGCGACTATAAATCACATGCCTCTAAAGAAGACTAGCCCGTGGAAAGTTTCGCGACGTGATAGGACGGGCACTTTTCGAGAGGGGTGGGGACGGAAAATCGCAGGAGCACAAGGCGCTAGAGGGACGGACACTGAGAAAAAGAGTGCTGAGGCGAGCGGTTGGCTCAGGGAGCTCCCTTCGAGATTCAATGACGATTATAGCTATACGGAAACTGTCGATAGTCTTCAGCCATTATGTTCCCGCATCGGAATGCAGTCCGGATGCCGGTCTAGAACGGTTAGCGTAACACCCACAAAGTACACGACAGGTTGTGCAGCCTAAATATTCGGCTGCCAAACATAGTAGGCGGTTCAGGTGACGTTTGTCGACCTGTGACCGCGCATCGACCGTGTGACCGCGCATCGAAAGTTTGCTGTTCCAATCCCGCGGACGGCCGTGGAAGATCTCCTGCCCAGCCAGGCGACGTGTTCCTGCCGACTACAGAAGATGTCCATGGTTCTCCAACGGGTCATCTGCTGCCACCGGCCTATATCTGACGTGTAATCCCTCGGAGTGACGTATCAGAAATTAATTCATTGATTCACGTAAGTGTTAACTTTCAACTAGTTAATAGACAGAGTAAAGCCCTAAAGGGAATATTATGTAAAAGAGGACTCACTGAACCAATAAACGTGTTCCCGCCATTTTGGTCGGGTGGCCACACAAGAAAAATGTGTATTATTTGGTAGCTAGTAAGCAAGTGCAATCCATTCGACCCAAGGCGCTCATCCCTGAAGATGTCTCATGGCCGGTACCCAGATCACAGGTAGGCATACGCTTGGCGCCCACCCTAATAAATTTAGCGCGTGCTCCTGGTGTTTGGAAACGACCGTCGCACCTTCAGTGTGACGGAAGCTCCTCCCCTATGATAGTGTGACTCACAGCGGCACGGCAAAAAGTGTGTCGCGTGGTCCATTACATAAATTGGCACCCAACGTGTTTTTTTCTCTTTCGAATAGTTTCGCTTGGGTTGATAACAAAAATGTCACCCAACGTGATTTTTATACTTCGAAAATTTTCGCTTGTGTTGTACACATAAATTGACGCCCATGTGTTTTTTTCTATTGCCTGTCGTACTCATTTATCAATTATAATTATTTGTAATGTTCTTATTACTTTATCTCATAAAGTATCAACACTTGCGAAATCATTGCCCAACTGAAGGTTGCATTTGCTTTATAGTATGTGTTTCTATCATTGTTTAGTTTCGTATGTACATTTTATTAATGATTCAGTTCGTGTGTAAGAACATTTTTTCTGTCTCTGTAATTATAAGATGTGTGAGTGCACTATACAAATTGACGCTCAAAGTGATTTATTAAGAACTCTAATTTCATATTTGTTGCATCAAGTCAGTTTCATTAATTTATAAGTTTTGCATTTTGACGCTTGTCTTTATTTGGCTTAATTTTACCTAACTAAAGTATACATTTGTTCATTTACATTTTTACATATTGTTTATGTTAGATTAAGAATATATGTTTTGTTCTAAGTGTTCTTTCAAATTTTCATGTTCATTTCTCAGTGTTATGCTAAAACTTTTCATTGTGTGTGTATCTTAATTTTGCGATTGTTGGGCTTAATTGTATACTCCTGTATAGGCGTAATTATGATAGTTACGTCACTTCGAGGATTACACGTTCCAATATGGCTGAAAATCAACCTGTTCATAATATCAAGGTCGCCGACTTCGCACTTCAAACCGCTCCCTCAGTCCACCGATCGGATGTTCAGCTGTTCAGACCCTTATTATAGACCCAGCCTCTGAGCAGGTAGGAGCCGTTACAAGCGCAGCGGTCATTCCTCCCCAAACCACAACCGCTCCGACGGTACCTGCAGACTAAATGTCTTAATTATTCAGCACGTTATTTGCAAAATTGAACGAACAGCGTCAAGACTTTAATTCCAAATTTTAAGAATAGCGTCAGGACTTCAACTCTAAATTTAACAATATGGATTCTAAATTTGATTCAAAGTTTAATGCTCTTGATAGTAGATTAGAGGAACAACTCACTATTCTCAACCAATTTCAAAGTAAGGTTTCTCACCAGCTCGATTCTGTTAAATCTAAAGTCGAAGAACAAAGCACTAAAATCGCTTCTCTCGCTTCTGCTGCTGAAAATAATTCACTTCAGATATCCAATATCAAAGAAGCGTTAACAGGCTAGATAAAGAAATGCGAAAATTTGCATTCTGACACATTTAAACAAATCACAAAATTTAAAGTTAACTTTAGCAAAGACATCGAAACTGTGTCAGAAAGGCAAACTAATTTAAGTCACTGGGCTCGCGAAAAATATAAAGACAATGAAATTGAACTTTCAAACATTAAAGGTGAAGTTACTTAAAAACTAAAAGGTGTCGATAATAAGATTGAAGGATTTCACGAGACAGTGGATCATAAAATTGAAAAAGTTAAATTAGTATTGCATCAACAAGCATTAGAGTAAAGGAAAGAAATTGATTTTCAAATTGAAGAAAAGGCTATTTCGGCTTCCCCAGTCAACGCAATGCCTTTGTCAATTCCCCCTAATTTGAAGTTTCTGGAAATAGGGGTGAACAAACTATTAAGTTCTTAAGTAACGTGAAAAAATTATCTTGCTCTAGCGAGGTATATTCCTGACTCTTCTTATCAAAACGTTATATCACAAATGTTGATTGACCACACTCAAGAATTATTTCAAATACTCATACCTACTCCTTCAGATTATCAGAATTTTCGTTCTAAATTTATCAATCGTTTTTACGATAGAAACACCCATAACAATTTTAAAATTTCGAGATTGGGTTTCATTTGTTATTAAGGGTATAATTTTAAAACTAATAGTCGGATTAAGGTCAGCTTTGCACCATTGACTTTCTCGCCGACAGTTGTACTTACATAAGTGATATCAGGGAGATACTACGAAATTAAGCTTTTTCCAAATTTTGGCGCAATTACAGAATATGGGCATCATTTGTTTCGAAGCATATACTTTCGAAACTAAAGGTCAAATTGACCACTGCTATCAACCATTTAATTTCTCGTCGAGCGATGTACTTACATTCGTGATTTCAGAAAGATACTACAAAATTAGGTTTTTCCCAATTTTTTGCTCTATTTCAGGATTTCAGCTTCATATGTTTGTAAGGGCATAATTTCGAAACTAATGGTCGGATTGACCTCTGCT